CTGTCTGTACGTCCCTATGTATGCTAAAATCTTTAAAACTACGCAACGGATTTTGATGCGGTTTTCTTTAATAGATAGAGTGATTCAAGAGGAAGGTTTATGTATATAACACGTGTACCCCCGTGTGAAACCGGGGCGAGTAGCTAGTTATTATTATTATATATATATAATAGAGTCGCTTCCACTGTCTGTTCGCTTAGATCTTTTAAACTACGCAACAGATTTTAATAACAGTTTTCAGCAATATATATATATAGTCATTCAAGAGGAAGGTTTATATGTATAATACATGCGTGGTATAGTATAGAACAAGCCAAGAAATTCAAAGATTTGTATATGAAGCCGGGCCGGTAGCTAGTTGTTTATAAAATGAAAACCCATTTATCAAAGGAAGTAATTTATTAGAATATTAAGACACGTATTCATCGAGTATTACCAATGAGGTCGCGCCAATGTCGCGCCTCTCTCGTAATTTAACTTCGCCTTCTGGGAATAATCATTTGAGAGTATTAAAAAAAATGAAGAAATCTATTGTAGTGGAACAATTGTATTAGAGCCGGGCTTACGTGTCAATATTGGAATTATTCTCGGAAGTAATTTGATACTTTTTCGATGTCCTTACGATTCAAACTTGAGTTGCGTCCGCAGTGTTATTTAATCAACTTCGGAATAGTCAGTGTTCTATTACTGATTTCCCATGGTCTCTGCTTCCATTTTAAGTTTTATGCTCTATATTAGGACAGATATAGTATTTATTGGTGAATAAAAAACAGCACTATGTTTATTTTGTGTACGAATATAATATAATAATAAATAAAATAGAATATTACGCTCGTGGATATATTTATAGCCGTGAAATGAATAAGAATAATTAGTATATATTATATTACAAAAGAAACAAAAAATATTGTCGCTCTACGTTCGACGATCCATTTTTGAAATTAGTAATTTTATTTTCTAATGTAATAAATGTTATTCTATTCTATTATTTTTAAGCAATACTTAATGGCTGTAATTTTTTTGTAATAAATTTTTAAAGATTAAGTTCAATAGATATTAATCTACTTTTTGTACTATTACCTAACGATTAACACTTAAAAATATCTTCTTATAGATTTTATATAACAGTATCGTGGGTAATAAACATCGTCTCTAACGAGCTTCGAACACCTGCGTTCGGCTGCGCTTGGCACAACCGCGCCCGCTGCTAAGCCTACGGGCACTATTACCTATGGTTTAGATAGGCCTAGCGGGTCACCGCAAAACTTACATATACACGTACTTGTTATTAATTATACAATTTTGAATCCATTTAAAATAGTAAAAGAGTTTCTATTCGACTAATATATTTATTGTCTATTACGTAATCCATTTGCCAATTCTGAATTATTTCTATTTTTTATATACGTTACTTATATATATATAGCTGTATTCCGCAGTGTTGACCGCTTTGTATGTAGCCTATGTTATTCACTGATAATGTAGTCTTCTGTACGTGAAAATACTTCTTTAAAGAGTCTACGTCTCTCTAGAGACTGCCTCTCTAGAGAGAGGGAATCACAAATGTGGCCAGCTAAACTAAAATATCAATCAAGGACGGAGGAAGGGTATGAAAATCTAGTCATTCGTATGACATAATTCATGAATAGCTCTTACGATGTTTATTACCATAGTTCAAGTACAACTAGAAACTAAACGCATGAGTTAAGCGTCCATTGTTGATATGAACTAATTACTCAGTCATGAATCACCGTTAATTCAATAACCACCACCTGTATCACGTTTAGGGGATCTTTCGCTGTGTCATACTTGATTCACCCTAACACCGCATGTAGATCAGGGTTGCCAGTTTTAAAAGACTCAGGTGAAGACGCGCCTAAGCCTCGTACGAAAAAATAAAATATATTAAGTCAATTGAACTCTTTAACAAGGAATAAATTTAAATCTCGAACAATTATTTATGATGATGAAAATGTTCTAGGCGAAGGCCAAAAGTCTTGTAGGGATGCCAATGTTACGAGTACAACTCGTAACATTGGCATCCCTGATGAGGACGTCACGCATATCGTAGGGCGTTATCTTGGAAACTATCACAGAGATCGGTATACAATGAAGGGCCCCGGGCGAGACACTCCTCGTACACCTGTCTACGCTAGTAGGGTTACCAGATGACAGATATTTTCCAGACATGTTCGGATTTTTGACCGTTGGGGAAATAATTATGATGGTTTCTTGGAAATGATAGTACCTCCTAACTAATACAGAAAGCAATAAGAAATAAGATCTAAGTAATGTATATGTTTTAATTTACTGGAGTTAAATATTTATTAACAATCAAAAATTTACTGTTAATAGAAAAACATATGTAAAAATAATATGAATAAGATTTCTTTAAAAAGAAATGTCATATAGCCTCTGTAAATGACAGTCATTGACCACCACATCATATACTTGTACTAGTCTCACTTGAAGCTGCTCGGAATTACAATTGATATGCATCTAATTGTATCCAAAACCTAAAAAAAATATTTTTAATTTTGTACATGCGAGTCTCTTGTAAGTTAACTTCCACAAAATAACTATTTACAAAAAAAAAATTGAAATGTTACTGAATAGTTATGCACGAAAATGTTATGGTCACGAAATGTCACAATTTGATCTGATAACCCTAGGCAGGCATATATCAGGCGGAAACTAATAAGCCAACGACGCACCGGCTGCGTGCTGGAGCCGCAGGCGCAGGCGCACGGAGCCGCGGACGTGTCCAGCGCGTGCGCCCGCGCAACTCGCCCTCCGGGGAAATGCCTCCGATAGTCATTAACTTTCGGGGATTGGTGGCCTTCCAATGATATATGTGTGGGATGTGCCGGATGCTTATGTAATGACTACGAAGAAGGTGCTATTACCTTCAACATTTTTGTGCTTCATTTTTCTAAAATTTTTCTGTCGCGCCCCAAGCAGTACGACGTTGGTGTTGAAATTGTGAATGCCCATAAATATAATCTAGATGTTATGTTTAGTTTATCATGATTCTAGCTTACGTTTTGTAATAGCATTTCAAAGTGAAATATCTTTACAGATTTTGTAATTACGACATTGAAAATGAGTCTTATAATGTTAATACTTATCTGTAGCCTTGGCATCTGTTTAAAATAGATAGTACTTGTCGAAAGTTCCAATCATGCTAAACTACCACTACAACTTTCTGACAGTATGAATTTCTAAACAACCCTCCAGTTGCACTAAATACTCATATTGAGCCTAATTCGTCTGTATAAAGGCGGTGGGTTTCTCATAGATTGAATACTAGTCCCGTGTTACGTTCAGTCTGTGATTAATTTTCATTTCGACAAATTAATTATTTGTCGAAATGAAAATTAACCATCAGACCTTACATAGTAACAATTATTTAAATTTGTCAACACAAATACTGCATGCAGTTCCCAGGTAGCAACATATCGCATTCACAATGCAAAGGACACACCGTTTCCTCAATTAGCTAAGCATTTGTCATTCAAATAGCTACAAATCTATTATACAAACAATTACAGCAATCACAACTGCTATTCGGCTATTGATATTAGTCACACGACTTACATAATAGATATCATATCATTGCATTTGTTGAAGGTTTCTCTATATAAGGATTGAGCCGATTTATTTGGGTGGCACGAACGTGATTAGATCCACTACTATTAATGTGAACCCATTGTTTAATATTGCGCCTAAAAATTGCGCGTTTTGTTATGACTGAACCGTTGCTATGTGACGCAACGATCACACCTGGTCTGGTCTGGATCCTCTTAACAAAGGAAAATTATAGGTGCAGACATCGATTCGAATTCCGAACACACATTGAAGATTTAAAATTTATCCGTCGTCGATCGGTGCGTGCGCATGCCGCGTACCCTCACGTATATTTCACCGTGCCCAAATGAAATTATTATACTAATTACCGAATCTCGATCACGAGCGGGAGGCGGGGCGGTTCTAAATCTCGGCCCGCTCGGCTAAATCGATTACGGGTATTACTAGCCTAGAGCCCCGTGTTTTGTCTCTGTCTAATGTGGGCCGGCCTTGCTCTCCTCTTTTTGGATATAATCTTTTATGGTTCATTGCACCTCGTGGGCATTTTAGCCGAGACCATTTTACTAGAAATAGGAAAGTTTGGTCTTATAATGTTCTACAATTTGAGTTGATGTAAATGTAAAGTTTCGGCAACTCTCCTCAGATTTACAAGATATTACATTTTGAAAGAAGATTCCGACTGGTATTGCAGCAATTAGTCAATCTCGGATCATGTAAACTGCATTATAATTTTTACATTTCGCGCTCTGATACCGAATGAGTTCACCCACTTTCACACGCAGAGACTATTTCGATAAAACTATCCAAAAATCAACATCAACATTGGATTTTCGCGAATTAGCATTCATTTCGCACGACTTTCTAAACGACACAGGTAAATAGTGGTATCTACTCTTTAACTAATTGTTTTAACGAAAACAATGAAACTTTTTATATTAGTGTTTTTGTAGTTCAAGAGACGAAACGTAGTTACGCTCCGTTTAAGTGTAGAACCGAATTACTTTAAATGGGTACATAAAATCTCCATTACTTCATAAACAGTCAAACTTATGTATTCGACGTCTATGAATTCGGTTGTTGTAATATTAGGTACTTTAAAATCTACCATTACGTCATATGTAAGTAAGAATCCATAAATGATACGCGATGTGAATTAACGGTTTATTTCCTCAACTTGGACCCCATAGGTCACGAAAATCTAATCCTTCTAAAAAACTTTATACATTTATATTTCCGTTTGGATCCTGTGTTGCAGACATCGATCACAATCGAATATCATCGCTCCCTGCTATGATGGATTAAAATATACCCAGCAAAATGTCAAGTGTCGAGTTCACCGCGTTGTCTGCAACAGATAATGTTTAAGACTAGAAAATCTAGCATTTCTAATTTGGAATCATTGTTGTCGACAGCCTGTTCGAGCAGGAGATCATGAGCTACGTGCCGGCGGGCGGGTGCGGAGCAGCCGCGTCACCCGCGGCCTCGCCGGCGGCAGCGCGCAGCACGCGAGCACCCGCACCGCAGCGCCGCGACTTCGAAGCCAAGCTACGGGCCTTCTATCGCAAGCTGGAGAGCAAAGGATATGGCCAGGGACCCGGGAAATTAAAGTAATTGAAATCATCAATGCTGTTGCCATTATTAGTTTATAATGGCGATGCCTGCATGAAATATAGTGCATGATATTAGCTGATAATCTGCCTGTCTAAATGTGTAAAAAAATTGTAATCAGGCAAATATATTATTTTATTTAAGCGTAGCGATTTTGCAATCTGTCTCACCTCCAGGCAGGGAGGCATAGGCAGGGATTCGATTTCCGGCACAGTACTAACGTTTTGTAGTCATGAATATCGTTTGCATTTTTCTGGGTGTTTTCTATGTATATTACGTATGTATTTAAAAAAAATTATTCAAATTTGTGTTAGACGTCTAGTACCTATTATACAAGCTCTGCTTAGCTTAGTACTAGATGTCGCTGTGTGTACTAAGATATTACAATAAACTGTTTATCTGTTATTATCTATTAAAGTAACACTTAAAGTTTGGAATATTCATGGTAATTTACTACATAGATTTAAAAACTTTCAATGTTTTTTCATTCGCTTCATATTTGATGTTATGATAAAAAAATAAAAATCAGAATACCTGAGATGGTAATCGCCGCTCGAGCACTGAAATATAATATTTTTTATATCAATACCGTAAACTTATTTCAATATAAATTTAATTTAGGAATTATTAATCTAAATTTACTTAACTTTGAAACGAAATTTTGTCGCAAGTCACCTAATTTATTAACATTCATTGTCACGAAAAGTGCATATATTTGCTGCGACTATTATTACACATATCCTCTAGTACATACGCAACTAAAATATAGTATTTAATATAATTGCAACAAACATTTTCAGATTGAACATACGCCGAGAGCATCTTTTAGAAGATGCGTTCAGGCGCATCATGTCATGTGGGAAGAAGGAGCTACAGAAGGGCAAGCTGTGCGTCCTCTGGGACGGCGAGGAGGGGCTAGACTACGGCGGCCCCAGCAGAGAGTTCTTCTTCCTCTTGTCCAGGGAACTCTTCAATCCCTACTACGGCCTCTTCGAGTACTCCGCAAACGATACTTACACGGTCCACGTGTCGCCCATGTCGGCCTTCGTCGATAATCATCATGAATGGTGAGTGTGCTTTGTTTTCTGTGTTTTTTTGATAAGGTACTTCTAGGACGTAGTTCTTTTTCAAAAACAGCGGTCTTTGATCATTGGAAGTAATTTGCATATTGTAGGAAATGGTGTACGATGGTCAATATGACTTAGCAGTCTTGTTTCTGATATAAATAGGTTATATTTTAGTTTTTAAGCTATGTCTTGAATGTTTTTATTTCATTACGTAGCTGTGTTGCAGTGGCTTAAAATTTTAAAAGATTACATTTTAATTTTGTGGTTGTATATGAGCTATCACTTGGATGTATGCAGTTGTAAAACGTACGACTTGATTTATAAATAAAATAAATTATAAGAAGTAATTATTTTGCTCTTCTATATTATACTAAAAACTAGGAAATTCACATAATTCCAGTTTTCCTGGTTGGCAAATGAGAAAATTAGACAAACCAATAATATGTATTTGCTGGTCATTATGTACTATTATGTTAAATGTATGTGATTATCCAGTAATACTTAGTTGGTGACTGACAGCCACTGATTCATCATCAAACATATATAACCTTGAAAGCAATAGGTATATATAGTTTAGCATAGGCTAATATATATAGGTATATATATATAAAGATAAAAGGAATAGAGTTTGTTTGAACTCGCTAATCTCTGCAACTACTAGTCAGATTTGAAAAAGACGTATATAAATTTAAAGATTGTTTGAACGTACTAATCTCAACAAGTACACGTATCTATTAATTAGATTCTAAAGGCACTTATATAAAGTTAAAGTTTGAATGCCCTAATGTCTGCAACTACTAGTCAGCTTTGAAAAAGACGTAGGTACATAAATTTGAAGTTTGTTTGAACGCATTATTCTCAACAACTACACGTATATATAATTAAAGTTTGGACGCGCTAATATTAGTCAGATTAAAAAAAATTACTAGTATATAAAAAATATTTTTTATAATCCGACTAGCAAATAAATAGATGTTAGTGAAGACGGCACAAAATAACAAATGAATGGTGACGTAAGAGTAAGTGGTCTTTCTATGCGTTCTTATTTCTGAAGACAAAATTGTATATAGCTTGTTACTGTGTAATTTAGCTGCCATAGTTCACCATTTAAACAGAAACTCAACTTGCACAGCTAACTGGCCTACTGCCAGTTAGCTGTGCAAGTTGAGTTTCTTTTAGACAGAGTAACACACCCAAAAGACTTTAAACACACAAAGAATTTCTTGCTCATTCTTCTTGTGATGAATGCGTTCCGAATGAGTGGTAGAATCAAAAATATGACTATTCAAAAGTTTGTATTAAGCTTATTTGAATAAACATTATTTGTATTTTATTTCTTTGTACAAATTTCTCATTTGTGAACATAGATTATAATAGATATTGACTATTGATGAATTACTTATTAATGAATTACATAGTAATATTAATGATTTACCTAACTGTCAATGAATTACCAATTAATGAAAATGGAATAAGAACGTCTACTTGTTTTATCGATCATTTGATTAATTGATATTTGACAAGGCAACATTAAGTATCTTAATTATTTATTGGTTTATCAAATATCTCTAGTCGTCGAACTCTATGTAATGCATTTAGAAAATTATGGCATAAATTAAATCAATTACTTACAAACAAATACATTATTACAATATGTATTTATTATAATATTTTTTCTAATGTTTCTATTATAAATTCGTAGGTAAATAATCTTACAGAATAATACTTTCTCGAGAACGAACAGGATTATCGATATATTGAAGTATGAAATATATATGTATATATATAGAGAATTAACATGTAAGAAGTTTTGAAACAGCCAAAATTTCTTCTAGATTAATCTATATTAATCATTAATGCTTATAGACAGTTATTTATAAAACCTGAAAGTTACCTATTAGACCTTAGTCCAAAAACTAAACTATTTACTCCGTAGGGCATACTGAAAATGTTTCATGCTATTTTGGTCTTGCATATTTATGAGTTTAAAATATTTTCATACTTCAATTCAACATTTAATCTTGTTAACAAAGTTTTTAAGTTACAGCCACCGTTAAAGTATGTAAGATTATTTACCTACGAATTTATAACAACTTTCTAATATTAAAAAAAAAGTTATAAAAAATTCTAAACATATATTTTAGACTTTATGTGGGTTCATTTTAGATAGAATATGGATTAACAAAATATACCCTAAAACGTTGAAACTCTATATGCACACACGCATGACAGATAAATCAATAAGTTATCTTAATTATGTATGTACATAATTATTATGTTCCCATCTATATAAGACTTCCGTTGATTGTAAGTCCTCAGTTTCGTATGTATAATGAGTTTAAATTCATTCACTGTATGTCCATTGGTTCGTAAATTGTTAGTTGGTGCTCAACGAACAATGTGGCGAGCTTGTAACGGTACGTTTTCTATCATTTTGAGCAGCCTTTTATTATAGTTATGGCCAGGTAGAATCATTTACGCACAGAACACCAACACTTATAGATATAAATAACTAGATGTCGCTACTGCAAGCAGTTATTTTTATTGCCAGAAAATGGGGTAATATTGTTTTGCCCATTTCATTCTTAGGCTTATTTCGAGTGTATTTCAACTTTTTTTTATTATATTGAAATAATCTAGAAAATAACCTCATTTACTCTTTGCAATATTAGTTACCTGCGAGTGAAAGTCTCGTCAAAATGTCCAGCCATTTCAGAGAATAGCAAGGCAAACAGACAGACTTTTTTATTAACATTTAGTGAAAATTTCTTAATTTGACATTACAGACACTTCAATTTTATTTATTATCTACAAGGATAAATGGAAATAATAACCTGGACAATCCAGGCAACGCCATCTAGTCCCAAAGTGTCGCAACTACATACACTGTTTTTGTTTTGAATCAGAAAATAAACAATTCTATATTGCTAGCTTGGAACTAGATAGCGCTGTGTGAATTGCCCAGGGTTATAATAATTATGCCAGCGGCTTCATTCTCATGAAATTAATAACCTATGTGTTATTATGATGTTTATAATATAGCTATAATATATTACTGTAAAGTTTCATAAAAATCCGTTCAGTAGTGTTTGTGTGAAAGACTAACAAACATCCATCCATCTATACTCACAAACTTTCGCGTTTATAATATTTATATTGGCGACGGATACCGTATAAAATATGTTGACGATGATTACAGTTTAGTATTAGGAGAGCCATCGGCCTATTTGTCATTCCAGATATTAAACAGCCGCTCAGAATAAGTCGCCGTATAGATTTCGCATAATGAACTAAAACAATTTATTATAGTATTGACGCGCCCACATAACTGATATATCTATTTCGATTTAACGGTTTATTAATTAAGATGTTATAAAAGATTTATCTATTCGTTATAATAATTATAATTTATTATTTTGTTTAGATATTCAACAGCTAATTTGTCTATATTTTTTGTAATATTGACATTAATGTATTTTTATAATTTACTTTATATTAGGTGGTTTTATAATATATAAAATACCAGCTACTCGCCCCGGCTTCGCACGGGTGTATATTTATTATATATATATAAACCTTACTCTAGAATCAGTATCTATTATAAAAACCGCTTCAAAATCCGTTGCGTAGTTTTAAAGATTTAAGCATACATAGGGACGGACAGACAGCGACAACGACTTTGTTTTAACTATGTAATAATGATATCTATTAAAGATATTATATATAAAAGATTTATAACAAATTTATATTGTCTAGTTTATTCTTTTTTTGGTTGACTAAATATGTATTTTTATTTATTTATAAAAATACGACGGGACTGACGTACCAAAATTGGACAAGTCAGTAAATTATTAAAGAATAAAAAATAAAATAAAATAAATATTTCATGGTATTGTGTAAACAAATTCTTTCGTTAATTTACTTGAACAATAAATTTCGTTTTATTTTCATACCACAGACATGTGCCTCAAATATCATTCTATTATCCTTAAAAATACTAGATACTATGTATTTATTACAGATATGTAACACGTAAGTTGACAACCTATTTAAACTTGGTGTTGTACTATTTTTAGGCGTCACCAGTGTATGGTGGGAGCGACGCTCGCGCTGTCCCCATATACAAATCTCGCATCAAATTACAACAAACGCGGAATATTAAATTTCCTACACTTACGCACCTGTAACCATTTTTTGTTCATATTTGTTATTAAAACTTGAAATAATAGAATAGAAAATTCTTTATTCAAATATATTTAAACACTTTTGAATAGTTATATTATTTTGTTGTCTACCACTTATTCGGAAAGCTGTCTGATCACAAGAATGCTTATTAGCAAGAAATTGACGTGCCGTTCGTTTAAATAATTGCTAGAACTTTAACTTAAACTAATTGTGTAACTAAATAAGAATAAGACTTGTTCACGAATATGATCACTGCACTTTATTAAACAAATTTTAGGGACCCCTATCGGACCCGGACTAGTATGCCGCCACATAGACATGTGGCGGCATACTATCATTCAGGTCATTTTAGCGAGTCTGTAATAGACCTACAAGAATATAGACTTATATTTTTGATTTAAATAAATTACAAATTCTGGTCAGGCTTCGGTTCTCCAGAACCGTGTTAGTCCACGGTTTTCGATAGTTCCTTCTTTATGAATCTGATAAAAATGTAACGTTCTGATCACGACAAAAAAGTAATAAGTTCTGCTCTGTTCAGGTTTCGGTTCTCCGGCCGCGTGTTGGGCCTGGCGCTAGTTCACGGGTACCTGTTGGAGGCGTGGTTCACCAGAGCGTTGTACCGCGCGCTGCTGCGACTGCCGCCTGCCCTCGAGGACGTCGACGCACTGGACGCCCAGTTCGCTGCATCACTGCGTTGGTTGCAGGCAAGTTATATATCCTTACAATTATTAGTGATTATTTGACTAAATAATTGTTCACAGACAGTATGATTTTTTTCGGACTACTCTCGTCTCTTGTTGGTCGAAGCTGGCCTTTAGTCTGAGGGCACAGGGGATTGTATCTCAGGCCGATCGGTCGGGAAAGTAAGATGTACAGAATCACTGATTAATCGAATTCAGTAATATTTTTTATCTAAAATGAATAATATGATGGTCTAGTGGTTTACTTTCCTGAGCTGTGCCCAAGATCGTGAGTTCAAATCTTGCGTACACTGAATAATTTGTGTGTGTTTTAATTTCTGACCGACTCTCCAGTGAAGCCAAAAATTAATCCGAAAATTAAAGGGAAATGTGGCATGTCAAGTGATGCATTTACCACAACATCGATAGTTGACAATACCTCTAAGCCGTGACAATATCATGTATGATTGTTAAATTATAATGAGTAACTTAAAAACTACATAAACTAATAAATAAATAAAACATGTTATTACTATGCGCAAGACAGTTGTAATAATGAGCGGAATTATTGCCTTCCAGGCAATCTTAGAATGGTGAAGAGTTTTAATGGGTTCAGTCAAGCTATGACAATAATTGCAATGAAATATGGAGGAAAAATATATCATAAACATACTTACATATTGTTAACTATATTTACAATAAATAAAATATAATTTTACAAATTTAATTACAGTCGGCCCGCTGCGTGTCGTCTCTGGAACTGACTTTCGCTGTATCGGAACGTCTGGCTGACGGGCGAGTACTTGAACGGGAGCTGAAACCCGGCGGCAGAGATGTACCCGTCACTGAGAGGAACAAGAAGGAATACTTGGAGCGCGTGGTGCGGTGGCGAGTGGAGCGAGGAGTTGCAGAGCAGACCGAGTGGCTCGTACGAGGGTTCCACGAGGTGAGCATCAATATTCACTTAATACGCGTATTGAACATTTGACCATCATTCTACAATTTCTCTCAGTCTCTCAAAAGTTGACTAGAAGAAATCCCTATTTTGGGATAAGTCCGCCGCCATTGTAGCTATTTTTTTATAAGTTGTGTTCTATTGTACAATAAAGTATACAAATAAACAATCACATTTAACAACGTTAAAGTCTATTCTAAAATATCCCATTTCAGTACCGGATCTATATAAATCATTTGCCTAAAGTAGAAATTTAAATAATTCGCAATGACAAACTAAACTCAATACTCTAGAGTATATGATATCCGTATACCAATATTAAAATGTAACAAAAGTTCAAAGCTATGAAAACATAATGACAAAGAGAACCGTTTATATAGAAGCATTAATTTTAGTCTATGCGGCTATATCAGATGACATAAAATAATTTACTACTTTGTTTGCTTCAAAAATGTTGTTCGTTACTTATATGGTCGCAAAAAAAAAAACAAAGCGTTACGCACACAACCCTAATGTATTTATATTTGTACAGAAAAATCCTATTTACAGAAAATAGCGCTAAAGTTCGCATTATCCTATTTACTCACCTAAGATATATATTAGGTTAAAAAAGGACAAACTATTTTTTTAAACGAAAGAAAAATTGTTGTTTCCCTCTTCCTAACTAAGCAAATGACGCCAATTTTACCAGGAAACTAATTCAATTTGGATATCTCTTTTGTTAGCTAAATTGTAATATTTTTTATCGTGTCGCGATGAAGAATACGATGCGAGTAGGTTAGTACATGATGGAGAACCATCATCTACTAACCTACTAGTGGAACGAAGTATAAATACATCTGTAGGAGAGAAAGACAACTTAAAATAAACACTTCAAAAGTGAGGTCTGACGGCTTTCAAGTTCCGAGATAGAATATTATATCTGTTTGGATTGAAATGAAAACGGTCAGGCTTATTTTTGCTGTGGTATATTGGTGATGACCTAATTTATGCAAAGCAATGCTTCGCCACGGAGGCCGTTGCTATTTGAATCACCGCTATATTTTTAACCGACCCACTAACGAATTAGAAGAGGTTCTAAATTAGTTTGATTTTTAATGCAGTCATGACAAATGGTCCGATTCATTCACATATGTAGGTAAATATTTATATATCATCGCTTTAATTTATCGGCATAAGCAAAGAGAGAAAAATACTCCACTCGATACTTTCTTGTATAGCTTCCTTTGCAATCAATAACGCGCGATAACAAATAAATCTCATGTGTAACAAAATCAATTCGTATTGTACTGTTTCGATCAAAAAATCGTATAAAAGGTATAAAAAAAGTTTTAAATATTGAAAGAAACTGATTTAATCGTATTTATACCCAAGATTCGCAACGTCGCTACCACCCCGTTTGTCAAGTATATGTTGATGATAATTTCATTAATAGACCTAAGAATAAAAACTAAAATTTTTACCCTAATTTAAAAAATCTTTGAACTAGCAATAACAATTAAACAAAAAAGTATATATGCGTATGTGAAATGTCTTTTTTTTGTGCATAATTTAAAAAAATCTGCACTATTCTATATGAACTATAAGTATAGGAAATTTTTTACTCCGTCCGCGCAATTTTCTTAAAAAGAGGTACAAAGTTTTTACTTCACGTAAGAATATAGTGTTAAATTGAAGTACATAAATTGTAATGTAATTGGTGATGCAGGTGGTAGACCCTCGGCTGGTGGCTGCCTTCGACGCCCGAGAATTGGAGCTGGTAATCGCGGGCGCCCCCGAGCTGGACGTGGCCGACTGGCGCTCCAACACAGAGTACCGAGGCGGATATCACGACGGCCATCCCGTCATTATATGGTTCTGGCAGGCGATCGACAGGTCAGCTTACATATATTATAGCCTATATACTTTGATGTAATATATTTATTGTATATTATTTTTAATACTTGTAATAACTCCAATAAAATTGAAGTATTTGTTTGTAATTTCAAATTAACAGATTTTCAGATAAGTTACTAACATAAAAAAATATTCATATTAATCTTAGAAACTGCTGAACAAATTTTTACGGGACATTCACTCGAAGATACGTAATGTTATAAAGAGTATCTCACTAAATATTTAATAATAAATATGTTTACTTTATAAAAAAAATCCGCACAGACGAAGTCGCGGATAAGACTTAGTCTATAACAATACAAGAGAGCGTCACTCTAGTGGTTTACTTATTCGATTTAGTCCCAAACGGTCGTGAGTTTCAATGTGGTCTAAAGTTCAAAGCTTTATGGTCAATTTTCATTTTTGTTTCGAGAAAAATCGTTTTGGGTTCCCTATGATGCCACTATATACAATTGCTTCATTACATATCTAACCTATAATTTATAGCATATATTTTTTTTGGTAATTATAATTTTTGATATGAAAAATTAATAATGTACTAGAAGTACTATCCAAATAGTAGTAAAGTATATTATTAACATCAAAAGTTGTACAAATATATATACAAAATAAATTGTAATGATTTCATACCCTTAAGCTGTCTCTGTGCACGAATAAATGATACCTATTTATAGTATTTTATTACTAATCTAAGTGTATTTCATAAATAGATTCACGAACGAGCAAAGGCTGCGTCTCGTCCAATTCGTGACAGGCACATCGTCGATCCCGTACGAAGGATTTTCGGCGCTGCGAGGTTCAACCGGCCCACGCCGCTTCTGCATCGAGCGCTGGGGTCGCATCGAGTCTTTACCGCGCGCCCACACGTGCTTCAACCGGCTCGACTTACCCCCCTACCCTACCCTGCAGCTGCTACACGAGAAACTCCTATTAGCCGTAGAAGAAACCAACACATTTGGGATCGAATAAATTTAATTTATACTTCTATTATTATATGTATTCTAAGCACGCGCAGTGTTAAATCTAAAATGCTTCACTGAAAATAAAAGTCGCCGAATAATGCAATGATTACTATTTCTTCTGTATGTATATTAAGTGTTAGTTCTTACTCCTCGAAGCCAGAATTAAGTATTCGCAAATGTATATAGTAATTAATTGTAATCGTTGGTCAATGTATATAATAGTCAATTCATAGAATAGTTTTAAAATATAAATGTAACACGAGTTGTTATGACACTATGTAAAAGTAACGTAGATGTGCCTCTAGACACTTAATGTTAATATTACTAGCCACTCCTATATATTGAGGTTTGTACTTTGTAACGCTTTTATTGTAAGTGAAGTATATTTTGGCTGTGAAATGGGATTTGTATCCCATATTTAGGTATTACGCTTTGTCACTAATTTATGATGTAATAATGTAACATGCAGTTTAGAGTGAGGACAGCTGTTATACAAGTTCATAGTAATAAAATAAAAATTGTGTCGGTTTATTTGTTTAATCGAATGTTATATTAAAATATTTCCATTTACAAACAAAATAGTACTAGTCAGCTACATAGAAACCATATTGCTTGAAATGTTAATAGTATTAGCGATATATCACAATTTTAATACAAACTGTTTGGCTTGTTTGTTTTAATTTTTTAAATCAAAACAGGTTTCTTATTCTTGATATATTGGAAGTTTCACCTTTAATACAACTTTAATGCCTCTTCAATAGCTAGTAAAAGCTCAAACGATTCTAAAATATTTCTATTGTAGTCAATCAAATATAATCTGTACTAAATAAAACAATTCTTACATACTGTCACAATAGTGTCATGTATGGGAGCACCCTCTATTTCACAAGTAACAATTTTAGAAATGTAAATAGATACATTATTTATTGTTTATCTACTCATTACACAATGTGTACTTTCATGTTTAAATTGTAAGTAATAGCTATATTATGTTGAATATTTAATTGTGTGTATTGTTTCATTGTGTAAATTTTGTTTTGTGTGAGTGATAAAATGTGTCAATATACATGATTACTTACAATGTACTTGTTTTATTTATTAGATCACTATGTCCACAGTAATGCGGTCATTGCTCTCTTTATTGTTTCACCCCCACACTACACTACTTCATACAATTTATAATTAATTTGTCATCTCAAGTTTATTATCATAGTTAATTAGCATCCATTCTTGTAAATATTAATAACATTCAGAATTTATTATTACCACAGAATACAAATAGATGTTACGGAGACGGGGGAGGAGAACCCGACGTTGACAAATAGGGAAGTGGTCTCGATGGGAAGCTCAGAAAATAAGAATAAATCACACATACAAAATGTTTATTTTTCAAGAAGTTTGTGTAACAACAAAAATCAACCTTGTTAAGACCTTATCTTTTAAAACATATATAACTATTTACAGTTCCCAAAGTCTGCATTTGTCAACACAAACTTATATAAAATGCAACAAGGGTTATTTATTTTCACAAAATGTTCTACACTAACTTGTGACGGAGTTAATTCATTATAGTAAGTCACAGTCTGTAAGTTTAAAATCTTATCAGTACTTTTCGCAGTTAAATCATAAGCTGATGATGATTACATTAAGATAAAAGCTACCATTGTGATAGTCATATGCATTACTTGTAGCTGTGTATTCAAAATTAAAACTTAAAATTATCCTCCCCCTCTTGTATATCCTGCGGAGAAATGAGTACAATGAGTGGACTTCCTCATCATAAGAACTAAGCAAACTATGTTGAGTAACTGATTCGAGATGGTCAATGCCAAAATTGACAAAAACTGAATGCAATATAATACACACTTGTGTAAATATTTTGTATATTTACTTCAAAAATAACGGTACATACAATATTTAATTTGTATTTCTATCGTATCAATGAAAAGAAATTGAGCTTATGCTCACTGTGAGTTTATCCGAGAGAGGGGAAATCCTTGCTGTCATCAACTTTAGGAGGTGCAGCTTGCTGGCGCAGCTGCGGGCGCTCCTCTGGCGGCGCATCCTCCCGCGTCGGAGCTCGGCCACCTCGGCCGCGGCCACGGCCTCGCCCGCGAGGGCCCGGGCCGCTGCGCCGCGCCGTATCGTTGAACGTGAACTCAATGCCGAGCACACGCTTCTGACGACCCACACGCTGAGGATAATCAGCCATATCGTATTCCTCATCTGTGTCGTCATCTTCACCGCCTTCCTTTTTCTTTTCGAGCATTACCAAATTTTTCCACTGACTGAGGTCCTCGCCCTCGCCGGCCTTGCGCAAGTTATACTGCGGAGCCGTGCGTTGAGCGTTGCGCAATGCCTTGTACTCGTCCAGCGTAAGTTCGCGAGGCTCCTCCTCGGTTGGCGCGGGCCGTTCCGCTTCCGGCTGCTGTCCGTCACCAGCTGCTGCCGCATCTACGACCTTAGGCTCCTCGACGACTTCACCCTCAGAGCCAGTTTTGTTCAAATCCTCGATTTCGTCTTTGAAGGTGCCCCAGTTATGTGGGCCGCCACCTTCACGCTTGTCGACCGGTTTGACACCAGTCTTGTCCGAGCCTGACCTCCTGTCGAACTCACGCTTGCCTCGGTTGTCGTAACCCGGACGCGGCCCGCGCTGTCCGTCACGTTCACGTGGTTCACGCGGCGGTCTAGGACCGCGGCGCTCCGCTCCTTCCGGGTTGTCAGTAAAGTTGCGCCGCTCAAAATTAGGCCTGCGGTCGCTGAACTCACGTCTAGGGGGTCTCGGAGCACCCTCCTTGTTCTCAACCGCACCATTCTGCGGCCGATCTTCGCGGCGCCTTGGAGGCGGACGTTCCGGATTACGGTCGTTCGGTCGCGCAGGACCCTTACTCTTTTGTTGTTCGCCGCTCTTAGCCTCCTGCGATTTCACATTTTGTGTCTCTTTAATTCCTTTACGGACACCGGTAGTACCGCCTTTGGGCTTGGTTTCGGGTTTGCCCTTATTCTCTTTTTCGGCTTCTTTGGTCTTCTTTTTGAGCTCTTTTGCTTGCTCTCGCGCTTTTAACGCATCAAGAGGATCGGACTCATCGTCCAAAAAAAGAGCATATCTGTTATCGACCCCCACACCATAGGAATTCTCCATTGTGATCCTCTTGATGATTTAATCACACAAAAACTGGATGTTAGTGGATAATTTTACGCACTTTAGTAAGGCGACATTTTGTCTTGTTTTATTGATTTCATTTAATATGGCGGACAAACGCGAAACACTCCATATGACGAAAGGAATAGAGAAAAGAAATAAAATGGCGGACGCCTCACACTTTTTTAATTTATCTATGGTTAAAAAATGTCGATTAAAGTGAGAAATCGTTTAATCGATCGACTAAGAGTAAAATTGAGTTGAAGATTATTGATAGTTGATTTGTTAATTTTATCAATTATTGATAACCAAATTATGTACAATAAATTACTACTAATAGGGATGTTAAACATCGATGTTTTTATAATGATAATAGTATAGAAACATAAATTTAAGACATCGGTAACATTGTCAAAAAGGTCATTCAAAATAGGGTCAATATGCAACATTCGAAACACGAAATTATTTATAAATATAGTATGTCATTTTGTGTATATAGGTTATTAATTTTATCATATTTTAATCATTCAAAGTAATAATAGGCGAAGTAAAAACTTTGCACTCCGTTTTACGAAAATTGCGTAGATGGAGAACATGAAATTTCGCATACCTATTATTTACATAGAGAAAGAATGCGAAAGTATTTACTAATGTTCAAACTTATAAATTAATCTATTTTAATCATTCAAAGTAATAATACGCGAAGTAAAAACTTTGCACTCCGTTTTACGAAAATTGCGTAGATGGAGAACATGAAATTTCGCATACCTATTATTTACATAGAGAAAGAATGCGAAAGTATTTACTAATGTTCAAACTTATAAATTAATCTAATTCGAATGTATATTCGATAAATCGAATTAGTCGAATTTTAAACATTGGGCAACCATTAGTACTTGTAGTTCAATTCTACATCAATATTTTGTTCAATTCCCTCATCCCTATTACAAACTGCATAGTGATTCGTTCTAAACAGGTTTCAATGTGATGTCGGAATAAATATAGTACAAAATTGCGCATTTAATCACAAGATACTGAAATGTATAAATTATTAAATTACTTCAGAATTAAGAAATTATTTCTTGCATGGATCTGATTTTTGTTTACAAATTGAGCCACATGCACCACTTGAACCACCTAAACAAGTATCCATTAATAATCCACAAACGAGATAAGGATCGCAATCACCACCAGGTCTTCGATCTTCCATGAAACCTTTACCTTTCTCTTTTATGTTTCGTTGGAGGCGAATTGAGGCTTTTCTATTAGCAATACCCCACGAAAACTTATCAAAGGGCGCAGTTTCAAATTTACCTGAGAGTCGCATTCTATTAGTAGCTTCGTCATTACCATAAAGTTTCATGTGCTTCATGTGATTCTGTTCTAGTTTTTTAATACATTCTTCTATAAATTTATAACCGCCATCAGAACGCATCCTCTTTGTACTAAAATTGTGATGCATACCAACACCAGGATGTAAAGCGCCAAAAGGCTTCGGATGATAAGTAATATCAACTCCATAATCCTCACCTACACGTGACATAATATATCGAGACATCCATAAATCATCTGGAGCTTTTATACCCGCAGTAGTACCAATCTGCCATTCCCAGCATCCGTACATTACTTCTGCATTAGTCCCTTCAAAATCCAGACCAGCGTAGAGACAAGCCCTTGCATGAGATTCACTTACATCTCTTCCTGCTATATATTTTGCTCCAACTCCACAATACGAATATTGATACTTGACTGCAGGAAATCCACCGCCTTTAGGCCAACCAAGTCCCCAGCCATCTACATCCAACATCGTATACTCTTGTTCCAGGCCGAACCAAGGCTCTTGTTCCTTATGCAATTCACATAAATCATTACAATATTTTCTATGATTTGTAGCTGCAGGCTGACCCCCATCACCTAAATATACTTCACACAATACAAGAACATGTGGTTCGCAACGAAAGGGATCCCTGTATATCGCTGCAGGTTGCAACTTAGTGTCCGAATTATCAGTAGTGGCTTGTCCTGTTGAACTACCATCGAATGCCCAACCTGGAGCAGCGTCAGGAGCATAGGGTATACAGCTCAATATTCTATCTTTGCATCGCATGTTAATTCCTGAGCCATCAATCCATACATATGTAGCCAATACTTTATTACAAGGAAACGGGAGCCGCATGTATCTGTCCATAACTTTTTTATTTAGAATGTGATTAATGTTATGTTTCATTAAAGTTCTTTTGGGAAACAATAAAGGTACACCCAGATGTTGTAATAGTACCGCAGACTTTAAAATTTTGTCCATTTTTAATAATAAGAGTTTATGCAATCAAAATTGAAAATTTTATATTATACTTGACGGATTTAAACAGATGAAAGTCATGACAATCTTGATGGCATATTTCTCTTTGAATTACCTTTTTAAGAGTTACAAGGATATTTGAAAAAATATTTAATGCGATATTAATATATAACGTCATCTACTGGAAAAATAATGTAATCTGCTTTTATTAGTGACTTGGAAACTTATTACAATTGAATATTAAATTATTGAATCAATTTTACCATTAGTAAAGGGAAAAAATAGTAAGGACGTAATGAATAAATGATGACAAAAGATTGAAAAGACAATTTAAAATAAAACGATACGGTAAATAAAACGATATTAAGTAATTAACATATTAGATGGTGGATGCGAATACAATCTTTTTGAATTGAAATATTTTTTTGTTTTCTTTACGCAGTAAATTGTTAGCTATATAAGTCCTTGTACTATGTACCTTGATAGATATAAAATTTCTTCCATTCCATATTTTATAAGACCATTAATTAGAAATCAAAAGATATTTAATGCAAAAAAATAAATTACTATATAAGTATACATATCTCCACAGGAATAGTTTCACACACAAGTTTCTCCAAGAAAGGCACAAACTTTTTATGGATCACAGTCTCCTGCTGGACGACGAATTTCTAAGTAATCTTTTCCTTCACTTACTACATTTTTCTGAAGTAGTACCGAGGCTCCACGATCAGTAATAACCCATTTTCATGAATCCAACGAAGCTTTTTCGATTTTTTCTTTTAATCTTTTTTTATTACCTAGACCCTCTTCAATACCAGAAATTTTTCATAAATATTTTAGGTTGTTCGCAAATAATATTGCACACTCTTTCTATTTCTTTTTTCCATGAGTGCAACGCATTTTCTTAACACTGAAATTGTGATGACGACTAATTTCGGTTAAATCTTTTCCCATTTTATTGGTTTATGATGGTAACTTACAATTACTTCGAAATTTTCAGCTACTCTATTTAGTAGGTATTGTCCAATCCAAATATCATCTGCAGGGGGGAAGGGGATTGTTAGTAATGTGGATTGATAACCCCATTGCTAGCAATGTACCATGTCAGGTCGACCTCCACGCGGTTCCCCCTGGTAACCATCGTGTTAAATTCCTGGTGAATTAGTCACGATGGGCTAACTGACCTGACCTCATGCTCATCTTATCATCCTCCACTGCGTAAACCGTTAGCGCAGGCGGGTGCACCATTCCATTATCATCAACAAAAAAAAAAATATCATCTGCACTTACCTATTACCTAATTAAAGGAAAGTTTAATGAATGTGTAACTTTTAGTCGTAATTTGGTTAAAGATTAGTTTCGTCATCCGCACCGTAGTGGATTGAAAATTATTTATTTGTGATGTATATTTTTGCATTTAATAGATTTTAAAGTAAGAACAAGAATTAAAATTTAATCTCTTTGTTCGTCATAACGACTTATGTGTAACCATGATTAAACAAATGACTAATCTATATTTGTTGAATTTAAGTCGATTTCTGGGTTTTGGACGGCGGCCATAGTGAATTTGAACTGTCATAATGTTATTGTCAAAGTTGTTGAGACCAATGAATGTCAACGTCAATCAGCCTATCCCCCCCCCCCCCCCTCCATTGTTCATTAAATATTTTTAATATATTTTGACTATTTTCAATTAATTCCATTTTTTATTATATATTATTAAATAAAGCTACAATTATTAATAATAGAACTTCACTCTAAATATTCTACACTATTTATAATAAATGTTTCTCAAATAAACTAATTCTAAAATTATTGTCATATTTTAAGTATTAATTAATATTTTTAATATTACATGCTTTAGTGAGATCTTCGTAATTGTTTTACGTGCATTAAATATTTCTCATGGAAACGTAAGTTATATTTTACTGACTAGTTTCGTTGTTTCTTAAATTGTTGTTATTGCTGAATGTTAAAATTCTACGCACGTGTTGCCGGCATCAAACAATTTTATACCTAAAGTAATGAAATAGGTACAAAATTGTTTACACAGGTAGTTGCATACAAATCACTAATCTTGCTTACTCAGCTGTATTACTAATTAACAATATGTAAACAATAACAAGGTATTGAATGCACAAGTACTTTCACTACTTCTATATTAATATATGTATTACAAAAGCAACATTACATCTGTACTGTACGAATAAATATGTAACTGTTTCTACGTTGATAGCCATATGCCTCCTTGTTAAAGTGTATGTACTTAACATAACATTTATTTAAAAAAACAAGAGGCATGTTACTTGCTCATTTTTCGTGTGTTGAGTCTGTTCTGAATGGTAGAATAAAAACTGACTATTCAAAAGAGCTTATATTATGTATGTTTGAATAAAGATTATTTCTATTGGCAGTTACAGATTCATAACAAGTTGTATGGTCGACGACAAGTAACCTCTTTCTCTCTTCCTTGCCACTTTTTATGAAGTTGCTCTTCATTGCACAAATCACAATCATGTCCAGGCTAAATGGGGTTAACAGATGTGGCAATTCCTGTTTAATTTTTCTAATGGTTGTTCACTGGGATCAAAGGTCCTAATGCTTTTAGTAGAGACAATTAGTCCTCTGCATTGAAAACTCTGGTCTGACACTTATTACAATGTGGAGATGGCAATGTAATTTCTAATTACATCTAGTCCATATAGATATGACTAATATAAAGGCAATGCCACTCCATTAAACATTCATCATCATCATCACAGCTCGGAAGACATCCACTGCTGGACATAGGCCTCCCCCAAAAATCTCCATGACAATCTGTCCTGCGCTGCATCCAATACCTACCAGCGATCTTGACCAAATTGTCGGTTCACTTTATATTTATGGTTAATTAATTAATTAGTTTTATTTTGTTCCATTTACTTACATTCACAGTAAAAGTAAATGTTCTGTAGTCAAATTGGTTGGTAAATGTAATCAATTTACAGAAACCCTTGTTACTTCTATATGGTGTCGAAATGAAACCAGTAATTATTTACTTTCAGTATCAAAGCAAATGCAGCTTTCCTATGCAATTATGAGGTGATGCAAATTCTACAACAGCTGAAGGATAACACACAGAAGAAACACAAGCGGGAAGGCTCCCTCGCCACGGTTACATATGAGGTAGTGCACTATTAATATTAAAAAAATTGACTTTTATAATAACAACAACCCTGGACAATTCATACATACAAGATCATGCATTTATGTGGCCCTGAGCTAAATATACTTAGGGGCCTACCTACCATACCTAATTATATTACACAACTAAAAGAATACACTGACCAAAAACAAGTAACTAGAAATTAGAAAGTATCAGGTAATCCTGATCCTTTAGATAGATGCGCATTTGCACGGGTTGATTGAACATTCTAGATATTTTTTTATATTCTAAATAAATATCATTTCAGCGGGGACTGAGGGCCTTTGTATCCTTGGGGTCCTGGGCTGCGGCCCAAAAAGCTCTTAGGTAGATCCTCCCCTCCACACATATGCTTCTAGTCTGAAGATAAACAGAGCTTGCATTATGTTATATACATATATATATATACATAGAAAACATCCACACCAATACAAGCAATCATACTCATGAATATAAATATTTGTGTAATGTGAGTAATCAAACCCATTGAAACTAAAGCAGTGTGCTAAACCACCAGAACACAGAGTTGTTTTTGAGTAGTTAATATTAAAACATTCCTATTGGCTCATATAAAACTAAACAATGGATATAATATTTTATTTGAAGACCAGTTAACTGTTTGTATCAATGCTACTGAGGTGTATGTATCTCTAAACATCTTTCATAAAGGCATTACATTTATTAAATCTTTCATTATACCTTACTAAATTAAAAATAGTCAAGTGCATTGATTGTTAGGTGCAGGGAATATGTCTTAGTAACAACACTTATCATATTCTTATGTGACAAGAAAGATAAACTCCTTGTTACATACTATACCTTATCTATATGAAATCAGTTAACTAGATAAAAAGTAACCTCTAATACTTATGGATTTTTTTTATCTATTGGTTTGAACAGAATAATACTTGATACTATACTAATCCGGAATACTAAAGTATGTAAACACAGATGGTGTGGACACTTTTATGTCGTATAATAAATAATTATACCCCTAGACAATTAACACAGCATCATCTAGCCCCACTGTAAGCAGAGCTTGTATTATGGGTACTAGACAACTTATATAAATTCTTAGATTTTTTTTTGTTAATACATAGGTAATGTAAAACACCCAGATCAACACAAACAATAATATATATGAATACAAACGTTTGTACCATCAAGTAATCAAACTCCCGACCATCTGAAGTAAAGAGTGTGCTAACCCGCTAGACTACTTTCTTACCTTTTCTATTATTCCTATTGGCAATATATTTATTTTATCTATAGTCCATCTGATGTTTCTAATTTTCTGCTTGTTTCCCTTTCAAGTAAAGGGGCTGGTCCACTGAATCAGCTCTCAGGCTCTGTGAATCTTTCCGCTAGTCCCTAAGCCTGATAACATATCTTTTAAGTCAAGAGAACCATAGACTATTTGATCTCTACAATTGAGTGGTCAGTTCTCTTTGTATGTCTTTTTAATCCAGTTCTGGTAGCTTCTATAGAAATAAAATTGTTTTATTAATTAAAAATTATTACTATTTTTAAAACCATAGATTCATCTGGAACTAGGAGTATAAAATCTGACTTTTTTGATTAAATTTTCAGACGATCCATTACTTACAAGATTCAGATTGCAAGACTCAAAGTGCGCAATCCATTCAGAATTTTTTGGAAGCCATGAAGAGGTTTAAATTGACGAAAACAGAAAAACTTATGATGGTGAACACTCCACCGAGGACAGAGTTAGAGATTCAGCTGGTAATTTAATTTTTTTTAGAATTAAACATATTACATTTGCGAAAAGTATAATGTTCTCAATTCTTCAGGTTTTTGACTGTGTGCTGTGATGTCTATAGATATAATATACTAGCTGCTGCCCCCAGTTTCACTAGCATGATATTTGTAGCCTATGTGTTATTCTGATGTATAAGCTGTATTACTGTAAAGATTCATCAAAATCCATTCAGTAGTTTTTGCTTGAAAGAGTAACAAACATTCATCCATACTCACAAACTTTCGCATTTATAATATTAGTAAGCTGAATCTCAATCTGAACGAATTATCAAATTGGCTATAGTTAATGCATACCATCAGGTTTGGCAACTAATAAATAATAAAATGTTATTTCCAAGGTTGGGGTACATTCTGTAGTTTTCAAAATATCCATCAACTCAGTGTGCCTTTTGGCATTCGCTTCCAGCACTCTCCATTGAGTTCTGTCATCCACGACCCTTGTTGTCTGTGTTGTTTTGTTTGGGATGCAATAAATTTGATTTAATTAGAAAAAAAAAATAAAGCCGTGAGCTTTGGCGGTACTATATTTTGGCCCCGTCGTTGGGATACCAAAGAGTCACTTGTTTGCTCAATTTGTTCAATTTGCATCCTAACATGTGCCCTGTCCAACTCCATTTTAAATCGTCTATTTCGCAGTAGTATATCAGTTACTTTGGTTTTAGGTATGCCAATAGGGGTTTTAACATTGTTGTGAATACTCTTAATTATCGTTGCAGATAGTGCAGGAGAGTGAAGAACGGCTGACAGATGAGGAAGTTCAAAGCATAATTACGATAGTGAATGAGTTTCTGCCAAGCACTAATATTAGTTAAGAAAAATGTTGTGAACAAGATTGTGGTGATCTGGACTATGTATGTTGTGAATATTGTTGACTGTTAAATATAAGATGTTATATACAAGGTATAATAATGTTATATATTCTGTACATTACTGTTTCAATCTTACATTATTAAATTCCCTACTTAGAATAAGAATAATTTATTGCTGCCAATTAAATTGCACGAAAGAAATACATTTAAAGAATACTTAATTAAAGGCGGCAAAAGGCAAATATATGCCATAATGTAAACCGGGTTGGTTTACATTATGGCATATATTCTCCAGATTTGTAATTTTTTCCGGTTATATGTCATAAATTTTACGATTGATAGTTGTTTTATAGCATCCAAATGGGACAAACGAGCTTGCGGTTCACCTGATGGTAAGTAATTACCGCCGCCCACCAGGGGAAGTGCAAGTGCATTGCCGGCATTTTAAGAATAAGCTCTTTTCTTGAAAGGTTCAATATCGTATTGGTTCGCGAATACCTTTGGATTGATGGAAGGTGATACCAAAATGTGATTGTAATATTTTAATAATGACCGAGACAGACTAGTTTGTATGGTTATGTTTACCTCATCTACCAGTTAGCACATCGTGGCAAATTCCCCAAGAAAATAACTTGTCATTGCTAGTAATGGGGTCCATATTAGTTACAATACTGTTTCCACCAAAATGGGTTTTTTTTATGGGTGATTATGGAATGGTGCACCCGCCTGCGCTAACGGTTTACGGTGACGGGGCACCAGTGGAAGATGATAAGATGAGTATGAGGTCAGGTCAGTTAGCCCATCGTGACAAATTCACGAAGAATTTATTCCGATGGTTTCCAGGGGGAACCGCGTGGAGGTCAACCTGACATGGTATTGCTACCTAGCAATGAGATCATCATTCCACATTACTAACAACCCCCTCCCCCCCCTAAATGGTTACTACATACTATTAGGGTCATATGATGAAATAATATAAATGGTCTTCTCCCTTAATTTCGTGATTAGAGAGGGACCATTATTACGCAATAGGCGTAATAGATCTAAAACTCCAATATATCATCCATTAAAAAAATCACGATTCTTGTTTAAACAATCCCCCCCCCATCTAAATGGTAAACGTCCTAGACGCCTGAAACTATTACAGTCACATGACGACGTTGTCCGACTTTTAATATAACCTTCTTGAAAAACCCCATGCTGTAGTCTCTTGAGAAAACCTCGACAGGTAGTTTTCGACATTCCACAATCTAAGTGTACGCGGGAAGAAGATCCTCTGAAACAGCACTGTTCGAGACCACTTAGGTTCCAGCGTGTGGGGATGAATTCCCCCCAAGCGTCAAGTCAGATTGTTTGCTATTCGAAATACCTAAAAAATCATTGAAAATGCCTTGTATCATTGTTTGTCTTAACCGAATTGTAAAGACAAAAAAATGTATTTTAGTGTACATATACAAGTTACATGATAAATATATATATATATGTATATAGAATTAGATATGACAGCTTCATTAACCGCAGTGGTATTCCGCTAGTTCATTCAATAGAGATATTATTGTACTCTGACACAGTATCTCATTGTCGCTTGTAAAGTGTCCTTGTGTGAAACGTAGGTAAGTTTGTAATATTATTTATTTTTATTCTGTTTTAAGTACGATATTATAAGAAAAGGTATTGAATATATATTTAAAATTCTAAGTGATACACTTATATATAAGCAAAATGTTTCCGTAATTAATATCTTTATTTTCTCTTATATATCAACCATAATAATAATAATATAAAACTTTTGTATAATTGTGTAACTATAAAACGTATTATTATTGGCAATAAATTTATTATTTTTAATGTATGTAAATCTATTTAGCAAATATAATAATATATAATACATTACTTGCAGTATGTAGTAGTAGTATGTAGTAGTATGCAGTACACAAACATAGTTTCTCATACTCATATATTCACCACTGTGTTGTATCCCATTCGTAACTTTTGTTCCACTTTCTCGAGTACACTGTTGGACTCAATAAAGAACACCTTGAGGTATTTTCTCCCACTCAACATAGGACAAAGAGAGATTCATGTGGGTCATATCATTTTCAAACAAACTAGTTTTTTTATATAACATAATATTATATATACGGACGTAATAATTTTAAATAATAAATTAAAAACACGCGGGCCTTATCCAAGCGTGGATGAGTTTAAAAAATACATGAGGATGATGAATATGATGACGAAAATAATATTCTTACAATACGGCATATGTTAAGAATGACGACTTTTTGTGATAGTTTTTCCGCTTGCTGTGCCCAACAGGTACATAATGAACCTACTTTGAAATATACTTATCTATCTATATACTGTAAAATTATGGATTGCAAAGCTTTTATAAATAAATAAAAGTTTTATTGTAAAGGAGCGGAATAATTATTATAACCTATATCAGTATGCAATAACCTTTCAAACAGTAAACAGATTTCTACAGTCTATATAGTAGGTACTTCCGGAGTTAATTTACCTCTTAGATGATTTCCTCATTGATGGTTGGTTCACCCGTTATATTCGTGTACGGGTGCTGTTTATAGGGACTGATCTGCTTTGATAACTGTTTGATTTATTTAGTTTTTCAAGTATCTATTATATATTACTAGCCAAACACTCCGGCTTCGCACGGGTGTACATGTATTATACATATAAACCCTTCTCTTGAATAATCTATTAAAAAATAGTAGTTTTAAAGATTTAAGCATACATAGGGACAAACTGCGACAGCGACTTTCTAATGTTATGATAATGATTTATTTTGTTAATTTTGCTATTGGCAGTTTGTATTCGCATCTTAAGGAATACTTAACAACATTTATTTAAAAGATCAATACCCAAGTTACTTCATTCTTGTGACGAGTCTGCTTTCAGAATGAGCGGTGGAATAAAAAATGTTATATGACTATTCAAAAGTGCTTTTATGTCTTAAGGTTAAGGTTAAGGTTTACGCTGGCGGGGCACCAGTGGAGGACGATGAGATGAACATGAGGTCAGGTCAGATAGCTCATCGTAACAAATTCACTAGGAATTTATCACGATGATTTCCAGGGGTACCGCGTGGAGGTCAACCTGACCTAGTACATTGCTAGCAATTGGGGTCATGAGTCCACATTATTAACAATCCCCTTCCCCCAATAATGGGATTAAGGCAAGGCAATGATGATAATGATACATATTAAAGTAATATGAATTTATTGACGAAAATCTATAGGAATAACGATAGTTGAATCACTAGGTTAGCATAACACCAGTAAAGATACTTTATCTATGTGACCACACTCGTTCGAAATAAATTTATCTAATATCTGTATTGTTGGGTAAATAGAGATATAAAGATATCGAGTACTTACCTAACAAGCGAGCAATATGACTGATTTATACACTACACGCATTCTACCATGATGCGAATTATGCATTAGGTTTTGCAACTGTTTTTTTTTAAAGTTTAGTACACATCTATATCTATAAATGTATACAGATAAAGTTTGTGAGGTTGTAGAGAGTTTGCCCTCTGGATCTAATGAATCGATTTTGAAAATTGTTTTAGTTTTAGATAGCCCATTTATCGAGAATCGCCATAGACTATATAACATCACGCTACAATCAACGGGAGCGGAGCTGCAAAGCGGGGAAAATATCACTATACTAATATTACAAAGAGAAAAGGTCGAGTGTTTGTTTGCATTTATGCAATAAGCATGAAACCTACTGGACTTTGAAACATTTGAAAAATTCTTTACCATTATATTTACATTATCTGATGAACATAGGCGATAGAATATTTTCAAAAGACATTAAGGATCCGTATGATT